ATGTCTTATCTGATGGGTTTATTGTTATTAATTTGAGGGCGTTACAGTTTCCGTCAATGACCTTTATGCATTACACATGCAGACTTTGATTCTAAATAAAAATATGTAACCTCTGCACCATGAAAATATCGTCACATCATTTTCCGGACATGACAGATACACTGGTGCGATTGATGCATGTCAGAGGATAATATCAATGTTCATCCCGTTATATTAAAACGAAAATATGACAGTCATTACATGTTTACATGCCTTCTAAACAAGGTCTGCACTTGTGTTTGCGTGTAGATTTACATGCCTTTCAATTATAGAGGAGTTCATTGGTTGTGCGTTAAAATTGATATAGTGGACTGTGTAGCCTACCTATTTGACTCGTTCCCATCCAACCGACCGAACAAAAGGAAGCTAAATGCGGCACAAATTTTGGTATGTCCTTCTAGTGCATTTCTCAACACTACATCAAACTTGAACATCCTTTACATAAACCAACTTCAACCTTGTGGAACAGGTTCAAACTATGCACAACTTGCTGCAACTACACTTTGGAAATGATTATGTTACAGACGTGCGTAGCTTCCACCTCCGCATGTTAAATGAGAGGCCAGTACAACAACTGGACGAGTAATCCACGATCCCTCCCTCACATTAATGAGTATCCTGAATGACTGATTTAACGAACCTACTGACATTGATGACAAATTTAATGTGAAATTATTTTTGTAGCACGTTTGACTGTGGGATGTTCGTCATCAAATTTATGCAGCAACCTGATTTATGCCCCGGTCCACACAAGGTACATTCTACCGCTTCATTTCCATTTGTCAATCAAATCCTTCCTTGTATGTCTTGCAATTGTAACTGATTTGTCTTGTGATCTTTGTGTACAAAGTTCCATTCCTCTGTGCGTCATAAGTTGTTGGTTGACATCGTTATGGATGTCAATAATGCAAAGATAACAGAGTACCGGGAGTGCCTTCATATCAGCAATGCCATAAGCTAGGCCAATGATGGGAATGGGCTGCCAATACGCCAGTAATTTGGGTGGCAACAGGACTTCACTTATTTTGTATTTTTTGATTTCAATATGGATGTTAATTATGGCTCCCCAGTATTGTTTTTGCTCGAGGATGTAAAGATGGACTAACTGCAAAGTGAAAGTCAAATGTAAACATGGATCAAACATTTCGATGTGGCCGCTGTCTTGTTACTATTTTGTTTACGTATGTTTCTTGTTCGGATGAATGCGACTGAAACAAATATAATGTACGACTTTTTTTGTTACTCATATTTTGAGGAATGTACTTGCTGCCAATTTCTCAGCATAACTTTGATGTTGCAACTGTAATAAAAAAACAATTTGAAGATTTTAAAAATAAATAAAAACTAATATAATTACAAAATATATATATATATATATAAACTGTACAAAAAAATTGTAGAGCACTGAAAAGATTAAATTGTATAAAATGAATAATTAGTTGTATTTTTTATTTGTTAACGAAATGAATTTATAATTTAATTACAAAAAAGAAAAAATTAATTTTAAGAAATGAAACCAACCACATTAGACGCAATTTTGTAGAACCCATTTCTTGTGTTTTCGACTTATTTAATTATTTGTTAATTTTATGACATTTTCAACAACTAACAGTACAACATATAAGAGTTTTGGAGACCAATTACTTTGATCGTTAAAAGTGGAAATATTGTTTGAACTGACATTTACGGACTAAATTCTACTGTGCTAATGGTAGTGGCTACAAGGTCGCCCTCAGAAGTAAAAAAAAAAAAAAGGATCTCAGCGACAAAATTGCAAAAATGGCAATAATAAATAGACTTTGATGGACAACATGCGTTGATCCGAAAATTGTTTATTTGTCAAAAGAACATTTTAGTTAATTTATGATATCCGTTAATGGCGTTAGTTGCGATACAACTTCGATGTAATTTGTTAAACCTCGTTTCGTGGATGTCATTTTAGGGTACATGACGTACTACTACCACCTCCTCCTCGTTGTGGCTTTGGTAACATGAAATGTCAGATCACTCGTACACTCATACAACTCTTCATAAAAAGCTGGTTACTATTTTACACTTGCTCCCTAGTCATAATCATATTGTCTTCCTTGCTCGTCCTGTTTTACGTCTCAAGTTGGCGGAAATTGTAATTCCCTATTTCCATTGATGTGTTTCATATTCGAGAATTTCTTCATATTATTTAGTTATAAGGTCAAGGGGAATTTACCTTACTTTTCTAAAATAATTAAAAATCATGAAAAAGCTTATGATTTTAATCATTAAAGTGTGTAAAGTTTATCATGAATTAATCTATAATTATTTTTCAAAAATATCACTGATTTGTTATTTTCCCTAAGATCAATGTGTTAGCCTACTCGGTAACATTAATCTGCATACTTAATTGGGAGGAAAGGTGGCACTAATTATCACTGTACCAGTTAGTACATTCCTGGTTGTTGCCTTTGGTTTCTACTTTTACCGATTATTTGGTAGAAGAAGCGAAGTACGAGAAGGTTAGCCCTTAATCATCATTTCTTTTTTAGAGGCTAATTATATCAATTGGTGTCCAAAGTATTTAGTTCATAATCTTACAACAACAACAACAAAATTAAATTGTTGGGAACCAAATGTAGCAAAGCAACCTATATTTTTAGTTTTGTTGCAATGAAATCTTTCTGACGATTATCGTTAAATTTTTAAACAGAAATAAATCGCATGGAAAATTAAAAGAAGCTAAGAGAAATTCATAAGAAATTATAAGGATCACACTAGTTCCCTTTAGTTTCTATTAAATTTTACTTTGGTCTCTCTGGTTTTGCATTTAAATATTTTTCCGTTAAAAATGTTAATGCGCATAACGGAGAAACAATATCATAACAAAACTAAAAGTGTAGGGTCCAAAATTTTCAAATTAGAACTATAGAAACTAAAGTGACATTTTACTTAAACTATAGGGATTAATGATATAATTTACCCACAAAATCAAGTCTTTTTTTTTATCTATAGTATACATTATATAAAATCAGATCATTAAAGTTTCTAAATTAGATATGTTTGTCGGACACACATTCCACACATGTCCACCGGAGAACATAATAGTCCACGTGATGTGTATGCATGCATATACATGTCTCTTTTTCTACGCGTGTTTTCGTGTGCATGTTCGTTTGGAGGTGCTGTGGGGTTCAAAATTTATCGGCTTTTAGATATTATTCTCAAGTTTCATAAAATTGAAGCCAAGAAGACAGTTAAACTAACTTAATTGTCGTTGAATCACAATACCAGGAAAGAGGGAAAAGAAACTTAAGGGCTTTGGTTTAGTTGATACATTAAACACTTCAATGGACACCACACTGACTGAACCCAGTTAGGCAACATGATACATTGGATCTGGACTTTAACAAAATAGTAGCTGCTACCAATAACTTTAGCATCAACAACAAACTTGGGGAAGGAGGATTTGGGACAGTTTTTAAGGTAATTATTATATTATATTATATATATTTGATCTAGTATTTTATGTGCATATATAACTTGGATACGCTAATATCTATTTATGTACGTGTATGTATGAATTGGTTGATTGAGAAACATTATGAACTATGCATAGGGAAATCTACAAGATGGACAGGAGATAGCCGTGAAAAGGCTTTCTAGATGCTCAGAACAAGGCATCGATGAGTTCAAGAATGAGATCATACTCATCTCAGGACTCCAACACAAGAATCTTGTTAGACTGTTGGGTTGCTGTATTGAAGGAGCAGAAATGTTGATAGTTTATGAATACATGCACAACAAAAGCTTGGATACTTTTCTCTTTGGTTGGTTCATCTTCTCAATGTCTTCTAATTCTTACCCATCTTGTTCAATAAAGAGCAAATTTCACAAACGGTCCATGTAGTTCGTCTGAATTGTCCTTGTCATTCAAATTAATACACATTTGACCTTAAATTTTTTAATTTCTGTCAAATGAGGACAATTTATAAGGGAAGTTAAATTTTTTCATATAAAAAAATTCAAAATTCATTTCTCATATAAAATATTGGCACACTAGCCTTTAACTTTGATGAAGTTTCAATTGACATGTAATTTAGATGCAACAAAAAGAGGACATCTGGATTGGACAAAACGCTTCAACATTATTCAAGGCATTACTAGAGGACTTCTATATCTTCATCGCGATTCTCGTTTAAAAATTATTCACCGAGATCTGAAGGTCAACAATATTCTTCTGGATAAAGATATGAACCCAAAGATATCAGACTTTGGCTTGGCAAGAACATTTCGTGGTACACAACAACTAGCAAATACTCGTAGGCTTGTGGGAACAATGTAAGCAATGCTTTCTTTCCTTCATTTATTTAAAATATTCCATGCTTGTAGTACTACATTTTTCACTGAATTGAATTGAATCGCATCAAAAGTATAAATGAACGATTTGAGGGATTAAAACAGACAATCAACACATAATTCTTAGTGGTGAAACTCTATTTTGAATATCTAGCAATGTTAAAATGGTGTGAACCATGTGATATTCAAGTGCTAATCATTGCCATATCTTAATGAAATGTAGTGGGTATATGTCTCCTGAGTACGCATTGAGAGGGATATTTTCTGAAAAATCTGACGTTTTTAGTTTTGGAGTCTTGCTATTAGAGATTATTTGTGGCAGGAAGAACACCAGTTTCCGTGATCATGAACAACATACAAGCCTTCTTGGTTATGTAAGTCCACTATCTCACCCTAATTTGGCATTTCAAATATTTAGTGTTTGGTAATGTTTATATTTACAATTTTTTGTTTATTTTTATAAACATTTTGATAATTGTAACCGAATACTCATTTGTTACCTATTTTCGTTTTAAAAACTTGTAAATAGTTTACAAATTTTACTAAATTTTTGTAAATACAAAAAAGTTAGTTTCACTTGTTTAGAAAAGTTTAAAAAAAAAAAATCATTTTCTCTTTCTCACACGCCCTGAGGCCACTACCAACTACCACATGTCTAGCCACCGTAGGTAGTCACTTTTCTAGCAACTAACTCTTGCGTTTGACAATCACTTTCGTCCGCCATCTCTGGAAACCTACAACCACCTCCTACCGACAACCACTTCTTGTCAGAAACCACCTCTATTGACCAACAACCACCATTGGTCACCATCTCTAGTTGCCGACAATTACCTCAAGCCACCATCTTTGACTAGCAACCTCTTTCACTTATTTTTAAAATAAAGTTTTTAAATATATGTGTGTACCAGATATGTTTTTGTGTACAGTTCTACCAAAAAGAAATATAAACATGATTAGTATTTTCTGTAAACAAAAATAATTGAACTGTAAAAGTTACTAAATGACACTTTGACATAATGTTTTTTATGCTATTTGGTCATTTTATTCTCGCATTGACAATTTTGTATTGTTTCAGGTGTGGCACTTGTGGAATGAGGGCAGGGCATTGGATTCCATGGATCAAGCATTGGTTGATTCGTGTTGCTTGCCGGAAGTAATGAGATGTATACATATTGCTCTTCTCTGTGTTCAAGACTATGCTGCAGATAGGCCAACCATGTCGAGTATAGCTCTCATGCTAACCAGTACTGGTGAAATAGATGGTCCACAACCAAAACAACCTACATTTACCTTCCAAAGCTCGTTGGGATCAGATCTTCAATCTCAAAATAAAAACATATGCTCCGTAAATGAGGTCACTGTATCAATGCTTGAAGGACGATGACCCATATCCAAAATACGCTTTGTTATTCAATGAAATCCCATGTTTTCAGGGTTTTCCTTTGCAGATTTAGTATGATAATTGACATGGTATATTTTAATTGTCCTTCGAATATCTTAATACAGTCGTCATGATGGTGATAGTATGTTGCAGCAACTGCAATAATGATAGTAAATTAGTGTAAATATTAGACTGTCATGAATGATGTTCTTAAGTCCTCATTCAAACTATTCCCCATCAGTCCCTTAGGTGATATGAAAATTTGGAATGGAAGTTGTTTGTGTCTACCTCTAAATTTCTTTCCAGGTTCGCTTCTGAAATGAAGTCGGAGCTGGTGTAATTTTCTCATTCAGGTATATTTTTGCCTACTGTTTGGAGAGGTATATGTAACTTACCCAAAAAATAAATAAAAAATAAAAACTGAAGTTGTGTATTTGATCACAAAAAAACGAATGGTAATAATGCAATCATAGGCGGAGCTAGGTGAAACTTTGGTGGTCATCACTTGACACCACTGAAGTTACAAAATCGTTTAGAGTGTATATTAGTATCTGAAGTTTTAAGATTTGACAATCTCAAGCGGTCAATTCTTATCATAGGTAATGAGTAATTAATTACTAGTTATTAGGGGACCTTTGCTTTGTTGTTTATTTCTTTCCTATTATGGACTCTTTCTTGTAATAGTTGATAGTGTTGGGCTTGCCGTTTATCTTATTAGATTTTCTTATATGGTTGATTAAAAAAAATGAAAGTAAAAAGATGAAATCAAATTCTATACCAACTTCTCAAATTTTGTTTGGTTACATATATATCGAAAAATATGAGGCTATTATGTTAGGATTTTGAAAAATAAAAATTCATTTTACCCATAGTTGTCATTGTTTAGTCTTTATTATTCTTTAATTAGATCCTCTTATTTTTTTTTTGATCAGCAAAAAAATTTTATTGATGAAAAACATACA